TCTGGTAGGTGCAGCGACATGTTGGGTTCAAGCGCTCTGTTATAAAATTCAATCAACGCCGCTGCAAAAAGTCTGCCTGATTCGACGCACTGGAGCTCAATCCAGGAGGCCTTTGGGGCGTTGAAGTCACCTACCGACAGGAGATGAGTGGAGTGGTAGTTAGAGGAGAGTTGTTCAAGGGTTTGTTTGGGGAATTGGTCATCTTCAGGGGGACTCAAAGGGCTACGGTAAACCAAACCGAGAAGGAGAGAATCGGAACCACACAGCGGGATTTGGACCCACAGGGCATCGCGAAAGGGTGCGGGGGTGGTGTCAGAGAGGACAATCGGGATTGGTAGGGCCGCAAGTAAGTACAGAGCAACCCTACCAGCCCTCCCTCGTTTTGAGTCAGCTCGAAAAATAGAGTAACCGTCTATCGAGATCTCCGCGTCAGAAACATTTGGTGTGAGCCAGGTCTCTGTGAGTGCGATTATGGACGGTTTTTCAATGCAAGCTGACTTTTTAACATCGCCGAGTTTGTTGAAATGGCTGAGGCAGTTTGTGCAGAAGCATTTAAACACCGTCTCCGATGCCTCTGAGGGTGAGGAGCGGAAAGTTGAGTGACCAGGGTGGTTAGCAGACTTAATAATTCTGCACGAGTTTTGAGTCTGATTCCATGTCTCCAATGGGGCCTCTTTGGCCTCGATGTGGCCTCAAATCTGTGGACTGCGAAGCGTTTCTCGCGATGCTTGATCTCTTTTCCCTTCAGTACCGTGCTTTTCGAGGGGACCTGATTCTTAGTTACGCCCTATTTGAACAAAGCTTTGCAAACACGTTTTTTACCGTTGACCCAGCAATCTCCCGGCGGCGACATAGTAAGAAAATTTTCAAGCTCAGTGCACACGCATTTATTAGATAAATTTTTTTTCATTTCGGGTGGTAGCTGCGTGGAATGCCCTACCTCCAACGGTTGTACACGCTCTTTCTAGAACCCAATTTAAAGCACTATTAGACGTTTATTTATGCGCATCCTCGCGCTGGCAAGCATACTGCCCCGCGCTGAGAACATAAAGAGCAGTGCCACACGCTTTTTACTTGCGCCTTTCAGGTAAACGACAGCCACTGACGGACAAGAAAAAAAAACCGATCCGGGAAACTTGGGCAAAAGCCTCGATCCTGTGTATCAGTCCGTGGATCCGTGATCCTGTGTTTCAATCCTTGATTCCGTGGTGCTATTTACGTTCTGAGTAGTAAGACTGTCAGCGCGAGGACTCGCATAAAAAGCGTCTAATAGTGCGTTGAACTTGGTAACTGATGTAGCGTGAACAAGCGTCTGAGGAATGGTGCTCAACGCCCCAGCTACTCTGACTGAGAAAAATAATATTGCCTAATAATATTGTGAACCCTAAGCTTGAAAATCTTACCTTGTCGGCACAGACACGCGGACCGCAAGTGAGACCAACGACGAATAAAGAATTTTGGCTCACAACCGACTTCTGTATCATCCTGACGTGGCCTTATAATACTCGAAGTCCGGCCCGGCCCAGACCGCAAACTTCCTCTTGGCTGGACCATTTTGAATGGTCTGACACAGTGGCGCGAAATCGATTCCCAAGGTCATGCGGTACCGTCCTATGGACGGCCTCCAAATTTGAGGCAGTCACCCGCGGTCGACAGGATATCCCGACGATGGGAGAGCGGTTTGATCGGACCGCATTTCTACGATGATAGTGGGGCTTTCAGCTAGCGTATCCTGAGGACCTGAATCGCCTTTTGGAGTGTCGGTTTAGATACTTCTCACGTTGGATATCCGGTGCAGCCACGGGTAATGCACGGTCGATGTATGTTAGGTGCTGGTCGGCGTGGTCGTTGCTGGACGACGCGGCGATGACGGTGTCCTGCAATCAGGTGCGATAGTGCATCTCCTCGGACAAAGCCATCCATGCGTGGATAGTGGGTATCCACGCGTGGGTGCCCGACTTGGGAGTATTCGCTGAATGAGTAGGGACACCATATTTCCTGCCGAAATTTGACAACAGTAGTTTGCTGTCAATCAGCAAGTTAAATCGACGGCGGCGGACAGCAATGACTAACTCCAACGCTTTTTATCTCAGTTTGCTCGTAATGTTCTTCCGGTGTCAGCCGCCTGGAAGCTTACTAAAGCGCTTTGTGGGTCCGTTCGGAAGCACAAAGAAGGACGGCGCCGGAGCTATAAGCGAAGACGTCACCTATCATGGTCGCAGCTTGGGAGCGTAATGCTTCGATCCGAATACTGAATTCCAGCCTCCCCATATTTGTCCTTCCAATCTTTAATAACCGATAAGTATTTTTGTTCAAGTCGCTCTTTCAATATCTGGCTAGAACTTAGGACTTCATTGTGGCATCCTACCGGTAACCGAATGCTTTGCTCCCATCTACCCTCCTTGGAGGCGGTTTTGCTCATCGCCAGCTTCGTTAACCACCAGTACAGCGTCACTTCTGCTGTCTTCTCTCCAAGCAACTAATGGACGCCAATTCGTCACCACCCATCTGGTCAACCCACCCAGGGGACCGGGTTTCCTGGGGTGGTTAAGGGTGTTCTGCGAGGAGCATCAGACTCGTCGTTAGTACTACCCGATACCACAGTCGCTGTTTCACCCCCCGCTCTACTTCTCTAGAGAATTCTCAGGTCAAACAGGACAGCTAATCTCATTGCCGACATACACAAGCTTACAATTGAACTTCCCTCTTTCCGAAGGCTACGGCCCATTGCGTGCCTCCTATACCTAGGTGAAGCATGCGTGATGCCAATGCCTCAAAGATACACCAGTGCCCGGAGTGTCAGCAACAGACTCCAGTTTACTGTATGTCTGATCCTATTGTGCTATAACGCGCAAAAGTACCATCTTAACAATATGTGGCTTGCTATATCCGACTGGGGGAGATGGCTCAATGGTTAGCGCGAATTTACTAACCGGAAGGTCAGTGGTTCGAACCCGGCCTCTTCATCTCGACTTCCCCTGTCTAGGATCGGACAACCTGGCAATATCCCGGCCCTCATGCTTCTTATGGATGGCATGACAGTTAATCACCGAAAGGTTGATGCAGCTAGACGGTAATTTTTTAGGACGACGTCATACGTACAAACATCCCACAATTTTAGTATTCATGGCTTCCCCAGGCACATTGGAGTTGGTTGATGGTTTTCGTCAGCGTACATTTGAACATCACAGTTTTGAAGGCCTTCCAATGTTGTTGTCGTTTCCGAAGAGAACGCGCAAGAGTTTTTGAATTAATTGACCAAAGTCATCCCGTCCATCGAAGCGCATTTCCACCCACAAAGGCTATACTCGTGGACTCACAGTCACTAGACACGCCACGTACAATCCGGGGAGAGGCAATTGAGGTTATGGGATGTTAAACTTATCTTGGACGTTGCATTGGTTCGGATTGTAGTGTGACAGGATCAATTCACGAATACGCAGGGCTCGGGTCGCGTTCACTAATTTGAGACACTCATGGCGTCAAATTTGTGTGTCCTTAATTCTCAAGAGATGCAGGTATCTGGCTACATTTGGGGCTGTTTTGTTGTATGGCCGTGAGACTTGGACTGTTTGATCGGTGGAACTGAAAAGTCTCTAGGTTTTCGACAACTGTTGTCTCAGACCATAGCTTACGCCACGTACAATCCGGGGAGAGGCAATTGAGGTTATGGGATGTTAAACTTATCTTGGACGTTGCATTGGTTCGGATTGTAGTGTGACAGGATCAATTCACGAATACGCAGGGCTCGGGTCGCGTTCACTAATTTGAGACACTCATGGCGTCAAATTTGTGTGTCCTTAATTCTCAAGAGATGCAGGTATCTGGCTACATTTGGGGCTGTTTTGTTGTATGGCCGTGAGACTTGGACTGTTTGATCGGTGGAACTGAAAAGTCTCTAGGTTTTCGACAACTGTTGTCTCAGAACCATAGCTTGTGTGGCTCATTTCCGACGAATCCGTAACGAAGCAATTAAGATGCGAGTGTTCCGTTGTGCAACGGAGAATTCCACCGCGGAATATGTCGGACACCTGAAATTGCGTCGTTCAGGCGTGTATTACGCATCCGAACTATCGTTTTCCGAAGTGAGTGCAGTTTTCTGTGCCCAGTTCAGATTGATGGACGATATTGCTCTCATTGTCTCTGATCTTTCGAAGACGCTGGTCGTTTTAACTAACGTAAATAATTATGCCATACTTTTTGGTATGGACTTCGCAACAACGAAGTTAAATTCTCTCGTAGACCAGCCAATCAGTGTGATAGGTAACTTTGTTTACTTGAGTAGTTGTGTAAGTTCTGGTGGATTGGCTGGAGATGAGATTGCTTTTCTTATCAAGAAGACCAGTGCAGCTTTCACCAATGTCGAACACACTGCGACAGCGCGAATTATACTGTTTTATGGATCAGACACAGGGCCTGTACGTGCAGAGAACACGTAAGCTGTCACTGTCTGACCATTGGTTTCTCAGAAGCACTGATCGGGTCTGGTCGGGACATCGGATTAATTCTTTTGAGGTATACAAGATGGCTTTCAGGAGAAAGGAGCTCTTCCACAATGGGTTAGGTACTCGTGCTTCATAATTTACGCTGGTAAGGATATGCACGTCGCGAGGCAGAGACCATCTGCCTTGCAGAGCTCTTGTCATCTAGTCCTATGCTGAGTGGGAGTGACCGAGAGATGAACAGTCTGTGACATGTCAACGCAGTATGAAAACACTATTCGGTAAGCTCACTTGGGTCGACAATTCCCACCTCCCTGGATGGGGATCCTACTGACCAATGGTTAATGACACTGGCGTCGAGATAGGTCGGTGCCTAGGGCGCGAACCTACTGGCCGGAAGGTCCCTCGTTCAAACCCAATTTATACGTCTCGACTGCTCCTGTCTAGGCTTGGGCAAATTAACAGTGTCTCAGCCCTCGTGTTTCTTCCGGATGGTATGGTAGGGCGTTATAACTGAACGTTTATTATTATTATTATTATTTATGATACGGACAGAAATGCCTCAATCACTCAGCCAGAGGCGCTTTTGCATCACATCTATCACCTGAAATACGTAGCTGCCCGATTTCCTGAACCAGCTGATCATGCCATCGCCTCCAGCGCGTGGCTTTATCTCCCCTGCTCTCATGTCAGTCGAAATTGTTTCAGCTGGAACCAACGTACCCTTCGTACATTGTTTATAGCTGATCAACCGAACTGCACTGGGCCAGGCGAATAACGGCGAGTCTATATACTGTGAGAACTCGTTTTACGAGGTCATCTTGTGTGGTAAACACGTGCAGTCCTCTGCGGTATCAGTGTGGAGGCAGTATTGTGCTTCCTCCAGACCACCACATGCCCTATTTATGGAAGTAGTGGTGGTGCTTTGTACGCTGACCCCCTCACACCTCTATCACCCAGATCTTCCCGATTTATTTATCTGTCAACCACTTAGCTGTTGCCTTAATATCCAAACTTCTGTCCACCAATCAAGAAAAACGACCAGCGTGGGACGTCTGAAGGAGTAGCGCCGTTCAAAATTGTGTCTCAAGATATGGCCGATGCATCCTCGACCAGAGCGAAACCCAGCTTAATTCGAATCTGTCTGTCCCGATAAGTGAAAAAGACGGCTCATTAATTCACTCGCAAAAACGTCGACTGGAGAGATGGGCCGAACACTTCGAAGAGCAGTTCAGCTGGCCTCCTGCAACACAGCCGGTGGAGATAATGCATATGGGCGAATGGAATGTAAACCTTGATCGCCCTTCAGAAGAAGAAATAAGGTACGAAATAGCCGTACTGAAACGT